AATAAATTTAAATTTAAATTTCTATAGATTCATTTTAGTTCAGTTTAGTACCTGAGCTTTATATATCAACATACGATTGCAAGTAACTTTTAACTCCCATCTCGTTTACAAAAGCCCTTAGAAAAGGCATTGCTGCTCATAACCAGGCAAAGTTTTCCGTAACCCACACACATATGTGAATTTCAGTGACGAATTGTAATACAAATGAGCCAAAAGAGGAGAGAAGGCGACCCCCATTTTCCACCTCCCATGGTTTTCCCTGTTTCCCGGCACGTCGTTTAGTGCAACAACTTAATTTGCATATCAGCGCCGCCAAATTGCAAGCGGCATGCAATGAAAATGGAAAATTGTTTTGCAGGCTGTGGAAAACTCATGCGCATGCAAAGGCGAACACACTTCATCAATTTGCCAATAAACTTGTGAGTACTTGGCGCAATAGTTGCCAACATTTCAATCAGGCCAAACACTCCGCTCGGCTATGGTTTTGATATTTCCCACTGCCATTTCCCCAGAATTTTCCTATTTTCCGCCCACCATCCACACTACTTGTGCGAACTTTTTGAGTCAGCGCAAAAATTTTATGCACATGGCATAAAATCGAAATCAAAGTTGTTGCTGATTTGGCGCAAAATTAACAGGCAAAGCAGGCGCTTAGCTGTCAGCTCCTCAGAGTTTTCCTTGCTTTCCCCACCACTCATTTTCCCAGCAGGTCCTTCGTCCTTTTCATTGGGGCAATTAAAGCGAGGAACCACTGGTCTTGAGGAGGCCTTGAGTCGCGCGTCTTGTCTCAAATTAAATTTGCATTTCAAATTCCGTTTTTGTTGACATCCGGGAAACGAATAGCAGTTTGTTGGCGGGGAGTTTCGCAAATCAAAGCGTTTAGTTTGGACAAATCCCAGGGCAGCAAAATATCTGGGCAAAAAAAGGAAAACAGGGAACTTGAATGAGCAGGTGCCTGCCTGCATATAAATCAAAATAATTTCGTTTGGGTGCTGTAATTTCACAAGAAGAGAAATGGGTACAGCAAATATGTCCACAGAGAAAAACAAAGTAAAGTTGTTGGAACCATTTTTATAGTGCTAGTCAGGCTTTTTTTAACTATCTAAAATTGTAATTTACCCCATGGAAAGCTTAACAACTCTTAGAGAAAGCTATAGTAAATAAAACGTGGAAATTCTTCTATATAATATTTATTTGTTCTAAAAGCTTTCTGTTGTAGTGAAATAACTTAAAAAAATTCATTATTTTTGTTATAAAAATCTAAATCTCATTATTTGTTTTGCTACAGTTTGCTGCTTATTTTTTGTATCTCAGTGTAAAACAAGTTGTCGAACGGGAGGAAAATAATGAAAAGGACAAATGAAGTGAAATTTAAATGATTGCATACTCGGAGGCGTTTGTTGAACCACTTATTTTCACCTAATTGCACACTCGAGTGGACAGACGATGCTTTTTCCACTTGGCTGCTTGGCCAAAAATAAGGGCGGGGAAACCCCCAAGTGGGGGCGTGGCCAGGAGTTGGTCACTTCGTGTTACGCAACAAAGTCATAAAATATTTGCCAAACATTTTGTGTCCAACTTTTTATTCTTCCGATTTGGGGTGAACCTTTTCCCTCCGCAAATGCTTAGCCAATATTTTTGGGGGCGTGTTTATTGGGACATGGGAAAGCATTTATGCCATTTGTGAGCATTTGTTGTGTTTGCGACAATAAGTGAAAACCAATTATAAAGCGGCACAAGAAAGTGAAAGCCGGAAATTACCAGGAGTGTCAAAAGGACCAAGAGAAAGGAAATGTATAGGTGTGTGTGTGGGGCTTTCTGCGGTTAAGGGGGTGCAAACCGCAGGCAGCTCATTAAAGGCACAACTTTTCACTCTCGTCATCTTTCGCTTTATTTTTGTTTCTTTCGGTTAATTCTTGCGCCGGGCGAACAGAAACAAATTTCATGCAAATGGAAATGGAAAATGCAAATTAACAAGTTCCTTAGTGGCCTTGTGGGCGGGAGGGGGCGATGGGTGTTGCACTGCAAGGACTGTAAAACTGTAAGAGTTTTCAATTAAAAGTTGAGAAGAATGCGAGCATCAGTGCTTCTGAAACAACGGCGTCGACATACATTTATAAACATTTCATCTCTTCAAGGCATGAAAAAACAGTTTGGTAATTTAAAAACTATTTTGTTTATTAATGAATAGCTTAAGCCAATATTTTCTTTCTTTTAAATTGAAAATATGTCAGTCTTAGGTCTTGTGGTAAGTGTGTTTATAATAATTTAACTATTTAAAAGGATGAAGAGTAAAAAAAATATGGATTTCTATTCCAATTAATATTAGAACTTAATAGTAGTATTAATCAACTAAGTAAAATATTGTTTAAGTTTTAAAAGGACTTTATAAGTTCAGCTTAGTGTGCAGTATACCACAAGACTTTACTAAAACCTGCCAAGCCATCTCACCTTCAGCAGATTTTTGGCTCCTCGACTTCTGTTTTATAAATCTATCAATCATAAACTCACAGCCAATGCCTTATATCTGAAGCTCAATAAAATGTTCTCGAAAATGCTCGGAAAACTTTTTAGCTCACCCCCAAAAACACTTTCCAGATACGAGTATTGCCATGACATGTCGACAAAAGCAATGATTCCTTTTGGGGTAACCCATTTCTGCACCGCCCGATTTCCCAACTTCCCCGATTTTCCCGCCAACTCTTGTTACGCGTTTTCCCAGCCGCGCTTGCATGTCATGACATGAGCAGGAAATGCGTTTTCTGACGCCGCCGCTGAAGATGCCTGAATTGGTGGCCTCGTAAAGGAGGTGGTGGTGCACTGAAATAATAAATTCATAGTAAAATCCAAATTGTACTTTTGGCATGTAGAAATTTAATACTAAAATAGCACATCCAGACAATACAATATTTACTAAAACAACATTTTTGGAATATAAAGAGGCTTAATTATGCTTAATTATGTTCAAACAAATATTCAATATATACTAAAATTTGTATTTATTAGCATAGCTTATTAAACTGATACTTTTCTCTGATTTAAACTTCTAAGCAAATTAATTATTGTTATTTTAAATGTTCTTAATGCAAATAATAATTGTTTAAGTGAGGCATCTCACATTGCCCAAAACTATTCTTTTAAATCTTAATTTTTCTTATTCGATAAGAGAAAATTTTGCGTCCTTTGCCTCGTTTTTATCTTAAATTACAATGATATGCAGTTTTTTTCAGTTCAGGTTCACGGTTTGCGAAATTTCGAATAGCTGCTGTTCTTGGTTTCTCGGTTAGGTTTACGGTTACGGTTTTTTGGCTATGCCGTGTGCCTGGTTCCGTTCCTTGTGCACCAAGCGCAGCGCCATAAATATTTAAATTGCGCGATGCCGCCGCCACCGCTAAAAACCACCGGCACCCCCAGAACCACCGGCACCACCCTCTGCCCACAGCCCACTTTCGCCACGCCCCCTTACCCCCTTACGCCTGTCTTGCATGTTGCTTGCCGGCTTTATTTTTTGACAGTTATCGATTCGATGGCGCTGCCTCAGTTTCAGATTCAGATTCAGCTCCCGATTCCAAACCCCAATTTTCTGATTCTGATGCCGTCTTGACTCGGAGTCGGAGACATTTTATCTTGCCAGGACGCAGGACTCGCTTGCAATTCATTTCCTAAAATATGCATAAGCAGTAGCAGGCGAAGAGTTAAAAAATACATGTGCAAATTTTAAGATGGAAACGCGACGCATTTAATACTCTTCAAAAGTGATGCCTTTATCAAAAATGGTTTTCCTTTTCATTTTTCTTCTCATTGTAAAAAATGTTTGACTAATACCAAATATTTTCCTTTTTAATTTATTTAAAAAATAACTTTGCACTGTAAAAAACTAATTGGCTAGTTGGGATTCCCTTACATAACCAAGTGCTCGCTGCCCAATTGCAGTGAATATATTGCAAGGTATGCGGCACTCATTTCTTACTTTTGCGGCTGCTAAAAACTTTGCACGAAACTCGTTTGCCACTTTGTGCATGTTTAACTTTTTAGGCGTAGAGTACGGCACCCATAACCCTGTGGTTTACCCCCGTTTTTGATCGGAGTGACAAACCAAAACACAGCACGATCCACCCAATTAACCTAGGGAAAAAAAGGCCCGCAGTCTTGATAAGAAATCGAAAACTCCACATTTGTTTGATCAAGTGATTGCGATGCCAAATTGGCTCAAAAGACGTTTTGATTGACCGGCAAAAATTATCATGATTTTGTTGTGATGCATTTAATATTTACCAACACCTCCCTTGAGGCAAAATCATGTTTGCAAACTTTGCATAATAGTCGTGTAAATATTATCCAAATATTTACAAACCAAGAAAAATATGTAAACAATTATTGGCAAATTTTTGGTCTGCAATTGAATAAATATTTGAGGAAATAAACTGGTTGGACAACATTTCATGAAAGTTGGTATTGCTTAGAGTGTAAGAACCTAATGACCTAATAACTATAAGCAAATATTTGAGCTTAAGTTATAAATTTATATAGATTTTTTTTTTAAATTAAATATATAAAATCTAATACAATGACAATGCATACAACTTTATATCATTTTTAAATAATTTTACAAAACGAACATTTTATTTCTGTTGTACAAAAATAAGAAGATATACATATAAAATTAAATGATTCAACAGAAAAGTTTTCACGAATTCCTAAAAAGTATTTTATTAGTTTTTAACTAATACGAAAGTAAATCATCAAGAAAATGAAAAACGTTAATTACGCCTTTGCTTAATAATGTTTTAAAAGCTTCTGCCAATAAAAAGCTTGGTCAACAATAACAAAGTTAAATTTAACTGTTATCAATCGATAACTTTGCTCACATATCGATACTTTCCATGGTTAATCCCCGGACATAAAGTTCTCTCAAAGTCAATAAGAGCACCCACGGCGTATGAGTAATTTTTGTGAAGCTTTTTATTATGATGACTGATTACTTAGTCGGACCCGTGAGCTCCGCATTCAGTTAGTTCAGTTAACAGCGAAAAGTCGACATATTTGGACGTACAAAAATATATTGATTAGAAAATTACATTAACCCACGATGCCACCACCGCCACACGATCATTGCGGAGGACCACCCCCTCGCCGAGGTCCCATCATTAAGGTCCAGATCGCACCTCCATGGCCGCGTCGCCACCACCGCCCACCACCCCAAGTTGTGGTGGTGCAGCAGCCGCCTCCACCACCACCGCCAGTTATGGTGGTGCAGCAGGCGCCACCCCCTCCGTACTACCAGTATCCACCGCCCCCACCTCCCGGGGGCAACCATTACCACAACCCACAATATTGAAAATGAACCTTAATCTGAATTTATTATAAATAGCATTAGTAAACAAATAAATATGAACAATAAAGTATATATACATATATAAATCTTGTGTTATCGCAAGAGTTTTGAACACTTTATTTTTGTTAGTTTCGTTTGCTACAGAAAATTTTGTGTAAGTAATGAAGTGTTTACAAAAACTTTAATCCACTCTAGCCAAAATACCAATTACTTTATCTCTAACTATTGTTATCAGTACACCTGCTTCAATTAGACGGAAAACATATTCGTTTTTATTTTTTTGGAATCATGTTCCATATTTTCTGCTTGCATATCCGCTTTTTCGCCAATTTTCGCTTACCTGGGAGATAAGAACTCGTTACCCAAAGATAAGCTGGAATCAGTTAATATGGTAAACAATATTGCGGGGCAAAAGCGAAACCCGATCACCTGTAAATGCACAACTGTCCGGTCATCGTTATCAGACCTTGTGGAGTGACTAAGGCACCTTATCAATCCCCCTAACCACTGGAATAATACCCATAAACCCTGATTGATGGAGCCCCGAACTTCCAGTTCAGTTCGAGTGAGAAGTGTTTTCTTTCGCCGTTTCCAGTGTTCAACGCGTTGCTGGGTGGTGAGGTTGCGTCGGTTGATTATTTAGTGGCTAATCAACTATGCGGTACTATGAAGATCCATGCGGCTATCCTGCTCGCCATCACCATGGTCGTCCAAATATCGAGATTGATGTGGTTCCCGGTTGGGGTGGCGCATATTATCCGCCGCCGCCTCCGCCTCGGCCCGCCGAGGTAGTCTACATGACCCCGGCGGCCACCTATGTGCCCGGAACTCAGGTGATGATGCCGCAGCCCTATGGCGGAGTCACGGTGGCCACCAACGGATATTATCCCCAACAGCAGCCGGGATACGAATATCAGTACCAGTACCAGTATCAGCAGCCCTACAACAATCCACCCTATCCGCAGTGGTAAAAGATGTTGGACAAAATAACTATCACAGAAATTGTTCAAGTTCAATAACAAATAAAATGTATTATCGATAAAGTGTAACAGAGCGATAGATAACAAGAAAACCACACAAATATCTCTTTGTCTTAATCTTAAGTTCTTGAAATGACAACAAAAAGTAGTGCAATACCATAGATAGTGGGTTCCACTGATATGAAAGACAATTTATATATACCAAATCGGTAACAAGTTATAAATAACAACTACGAATGCTAGCAAAAAACGGTGGTATATTAACAGAAGTTTGTTTTTATCAAATCAAGGGAGCAATTTAAAGTCATGTTAATATCTAAGCTCTCCTTTCGGTTACACGATCAATAATTTGTTAAGAGAAAAATTACCTCATTTGGAAGAAGCCAAAGAAATTATATTGTATTGATTGTATTGATGTTTCTCCCAGTATACCAATTATAAACTTTAAACGAAATAAAAACGCATTTTGTTTAATTTTCCTTTTAAAAAGCCACATTCAAATTCTATTTCAAATAGCTAAATATAGTTTTTATTTATTCAAATAAATAATTTGTATTGTATTAAAGCTGTAATTACTTTTTGAAATTATAAATTGAGTCATAAAAGTGCAGTGTCAGTATCTGCAAATAAACTTTGATCATTTGGTATGAATCATCAATCATAAAATTTCGTATTCTTGAAATATCCTAATTTTTGTCCTTCCCCTTTAAATGTGATTCATAAAACCTTGAACTCGTCTAATGAAATTCAAATGAAAACGCCATAGCTAATTTGGTATTTTGTTTTTATCAATATTTTTTATCGAAGAAGACATTAATTCCACCTGACAAGATAGTAAACTAATCTTCCGTGCGAAAACATACATAACAAAATTAGAAAAAAATTCCCCTCAATTAGCGATAAAAGTGGCCTTAAATAGTTTAGCACGTAAAGAAGTGAATTCAGTTCAACGCGAGAATCACAAGCAGCAACTGCACAGCTCAGGATACTATTTGGATAACTTCTGACAGAAATGCCTTACTACGAGGAGGAGCGTCGCCACCACCACCATCATCATCATGGTGGCAGGCCCATTGTGGAGGTGGACATTGTGCCGCCCAGGATTCCGAGACCGGTGATCGAGATTGGAGTGGGTGGTCGCTATCCACCACCACCTCCCATGGTGGAGGTCATCACCCCCGCTGCCGTCTATCAGCCACCGCCACCACGTCCCATTATCGAGGTCGATGTGGTTCCCCCCAGTCGACCCTTCATCGAGTTCAACATCGGAGGTCGCCGTCCTCCTCCCAGGGAGGAGATCATTATCGTTCAGCAGCCCCCACCGCCCAGGTGGTAGGCGTGGTTCTATTGCGACAGTTGGAAAGAGTGAACTATAAAAAATACTTTAAAACTACATAAATTCACTGGATTAATATTAGATCTTAGCTTAAATATTGTCACAAATAAAAACAAATATATTTTATAAATACTATAATAGCAAGGCACTTCCTGTCAACTGCACAAGTGTATTTTTTAAAAACAATCAATAAAAACAAACGTATTTGTAACCTATAAATAAAGAAAAAATAAAAAAATGTTCTCTCTTTTCAAATATGCATTTTGTTCACTACGAAAGTAGTTTTTAGTGTTCGTAAATATATTAATCTACTTATAAAAAATCACAATTTTATAACCTTAAATAAAATTGACAGGTTAACATTAGTTTAATAATTTAAAAGATTTTGACAAGATTTTACGAAGATAACTCATACGTCACGTTGTCTTCGAATTGGTTTCAACTCGGAATCATTTTGTGCTGTGCAAAATAAATCTTTAATTGTAAATCTGTTTGAAATATTTGCTGAAATAACTGCAATACACTTTACTTTAATTGAAATCTACATGATTGGTTTTCAATATCGTTTCTGTGACACATATTCGTACGGTGAAATAATTCACATATATGCAAGCATTTATTCGCCATGTTAATGGAACAAATATGAAAATTTAACTGCTGGCGAATGTCATAAACAATGGTTAAGGACTTCGCCTCCCGTTTCTCTCTCTATTATCTGTACACATGATTGTTTTCGTACTTTTTTTTTGTGTTTGGCTTTGGTTGTTATCTGACTTGACTGATATGATTGATGTCCTTTGCCCAGAGTCAGCTTATCAATTAGTGTACTACTAGTCTTGTCTGTACACATACATATCTGAAAAGGAAATTGTAAAATCGTATTCGTATTTTAAATGGTTTTATTTCATGGGTTGCTTGAATTTTTAACCTTACCAAATACAAAATCGTCGTTTTTATTTTATCAGGCCCTCAAATATATATTGTCTAGTTAAAATGTCTATATGCATCATATACATGTAAGCTCTCACGTCTTATTTCAAAGCTTTGAGAAATTTAATATGCAAAGTTATAAGTCCACCGCTATGAATGGTTGTCTTAATAATAAATTTCAATTTTTATTGGGGCAACCCCCTTGACAAAAGACCCCAATGAGTCACTTAAAAACTATAAATTAACAATGCCAGAGTAAATGAGTCACCACATAGAAGATTTCCCTTGCTTTCTTTATAAAATTGACTTGGTTCGCATTTTTTATACCCATGCAGAGGATATTAAATTATAACTTCAGTCAAAAAGTATAAAATGTTGTTTCGCTTCACACTTAATAATTACACGAAATACTTTTTAATTAAACTGTAATATGGTTAACTGAGATGGGAAGGTAAAAAAGTTTGTTTAATTTTCTGTAAAAGAAAAAAAAACCTAATTTATTAAATAGATATTTTTGAGTCATATTTATTACAACGTAGTCTAAAAATGGCTTTACACTTTATTATTAACCATCCATTGCCTAAATGAATCACACCACCAGCAGCAGAACCACGAATTTTATCCATCAATGTGGCGATAGCAAAAGCAGAGGATTTCCTTATCGCAATCGAACTGGCTGTATATAAACGGAATAAGTAAATGGTAAAAGGCAAGTCGAAAGGCAGTCGAGCAGAAAAAGCTAAAGAAAGGAGACCCAAGAAATCAACTATGACCGATGTTAACATTAACCTCCAGTGCACTGAGTGCTACCATCGTCGAGGAGTCCTTTACTACGCAAATCCTTTGGCTTGGGGACGTCCTTGCCGTCAATGCCGTAGAATGATGTCCAGGAACGTTGTGGTGGTGCCCACTCAGAACGGAGTTCCAGTTGTCACCAATAATCCCACCACCAGGACGACAACCACTTTAATTCCAGTCACTGTTTCCACCTACTGAAACAGAAGAATATCTTTAAGTCTATTAAAAAAATATAATCAAGCAAAACTAAAAAATGGTTGTTTTCAATTTTAGATTAAGAATATCGAAAATATTTGTAAATGCTCTCAAAAGTTAGACTTTTGGATCATGAGATGTTAATTTAATAATGATATTGCAACTGAGTCAAATAGTATTTTTTTGAAAAAATTTATTTAATTTTCTGCAATATTGATACATTTTATTTGACTAAAAATATCAAAGGTCGATCCCAAATAAGACAAAATATACATTTATAAATTGGCAATGCTTCGTAAATTTTGTACTATTATAATTTTGGGCGGAAAGGAATTCAAAACGATTTGACAACATACAATCAAAAATAAAAAATAAATCATTGAAGATTTAATTTATTTGTTACAAAAAATTGTTATTCAATATTTGTATTAATGTTTTAAGTCTATAAGACTTCAGTGTCTTCAGTGGCAATATACTTATTTTGAATTTTAAAAGAGAAATCAGTAACGTAATTATTTTTACCAGAAAAAGGTCAATAGCGAAAATAAAAACGTGGACAATTTAAAAGTCCCCAAAAAATAGATGCCGTACTTGTAGACAGGCTTGTTATATTTTTCCATTTTCGTTTTAGCTAACAACAAAATATTTCCACAAAGCAAATGTGAAAAATACATATAAATATTGGGCAATTAATATGTACAAAACATATTAAAAAGGTAATTTAAATGATGGTTATCAACGTTCTTACGTGATCAATATAAAATTCGAACAAGTACATCAATCCTAATAGCTTACAAGTATGAGTACTTGATTCTGATCTACCTTAACACCTTTCAATGGCATTTAAGATCCCGGTGACTCACGAACTACAGTTGATCCGAAGGCAACCCCCAGTTATGCGGACACCCGTGAATCACGACTCGGCCAAATATATTATATATTATAATATAGTCGTCCAGCCCTGAGAAAATTGAATCACTACATGGTGCCAAAAACGTTCATCGATCAATGTGCTGATAAAAGGCAAAGAGGATTTCCTTATCACATTCAATGTCGAACCTTGGAGTAAGCAAAATATATATAATAAAGTCCGCCTAGAAAATGGCCAGTAAACACGGAGAAGTCGTAGAAAGCAGACCCAACTAGAGCAAACATCGCAGCAATATGAGTAGCGTTAATAATGTCAATATCAATGTCCAGTGCGAGTGCTACCATCGGCGAGGACTACTGTACTACGCGAATCCTTTGGCGTGGGGACGTCCTTGCCGCAGATGTCGTCGCATGATGTCCAGGAACAACATTGTGGTGTCTGTGCCAGCGGCACAAGTGCAAACCACCGCCACCACAGTGACGCCTGCCCAATGTGCGACCCACTGGCAGACTCAGCAGGAGCCGCACGTGATGTCCGCCCTGCCACCGAAGTACGATCAGGCTGTAGCTGCCAACTAAATCAAGAGGATAAGTGACTTCCTGATTTTTTGTTAAATTTATAAAAAAGAAACAATAAACAATAAAAACAAGAACATTGCAAAATCTATTAAACTCTTACCGGGTTATAAAAATATAGTATTTTTGGCCTATTGTGAAGACTTTGTAAAGTGCTGTCTAAGAAAAAAGTGAAACTAACTATCAATTCATAAAAAAAATTAATAGATCAAAACTTTAAATCTCTACAAATTTATTTAATTAAAGTTTATTAATGCTTAAAGTACCAGCTAAAGTGGTTTTAGTTTTGCTGAAATTTAATGATTAGCCCTCAAGTCTTAAAGGGTGATCATTTTTGTACATGTTAAAAGATTAAATAACGAAAGAGTTTTCTTAGTATAACATTTACATTAAAGCATTTTCAGAATAGTTAATGATACAATGTAAATAGATGCCCCCCTCATTAGCCAAGAAAAGAAAATATAAAGATCGTTTAAGAAACACAGCCGGAAAGTTGTCACTGGCCGAAAATCCCAGATGAGACCCAGTTAAATGAGAATTAATTGGCCCGCTGTTGCTGCAAACCAGGGTTGCCAACTACTTTGTGCAATTAAAACAAATTGTATCTAACAGATACCCGGGCAGGTTAAGACCTAACTAAGTTGTTCGCCGGACTTACTCTAACTTATGGAAAGCTATGTCGATTTTTAGATGCATTTTGGTACCATGTAGAACATGTTGACCCTAAAAATTACATACAAATTAGATAGTATTTGACAACTTTGATATCAAACTTTTAGTGGGTAAACCTTTTCAACATTTTAAAATGATTTCAATAAGACCCTGCCTGCACCATATATAGTAAGTCTAATAATTCTCTGCGTTTAAAGGGTATTTAAGCCTTAGACTGGAAAATTAATTTTGATTCCGCAGCGTGTGCTTGGTTGCCACCTCAACAAAGGTCCCTAACCAGGTTTAGCAGCATAATAAAACTTTTCTGCACATAATAATTCATATTAAACTTGCCCGGCTACTCGCTCGCTGCCACTCTTTTTGCCCTGCTCTGTCTATTTCTATTTTCCCAGCTTGGGTCACTCATTTATTTCCCCACTCATTCATTCATTTTGAAAACAAAGGCTGCAACACGCTTTGACTAAATATATTTTGTTAAACGCAAATGTGGCAGTGAGAAAAATAAAAAATAACTTCCATTGTTCAGTTTGAATTACACTGTGACTGTTGAATTTAAAATTAGTTCGGGAATATTACAAATACGTTTACTTTTAGCTTTATAATTTAATGTTTTTTCAAGATTTGTAAAAGTTCCTTAAGCAGAATTTGGTTATAGTTGCCTTTAAGGAACCAATAAATGTTTAAGAAATCACGTATCTTTCTACCAGCCAAACTATTAACCCACTCTACTACCAACCTTAACATCTTTCCTGCACAGACTTAATGTTTTCCTTTAAACATTCGCTTCATCAGACGCCGGCGACCTGTTTTCGCTGTTGTTTTATGAACAATGGACATATTATGTACCGGGCAACAACAATAGCCGTGGGTGGAAAAGCGTTTAGGCGATGTTTTGTGGGGGAGCGAAAAACGTGTCGGAAAATATGGAAGGGTGTGCCCTGGAGGCAGTCAAAAAACAAGGTGTTTCCTACAATTTTTGCCTGCCCTAGGCCAACTTCAACGTCATTGTCGACCGTTTAGCGTCTTGGCAAATTCCGAAAACGATTAAGGGGAGGATTTTAGAGGGTGTTAAGTAGCTGGAGTCCTTAAGCCTTTATTTGCCTCGGTTTCTTGACGATTGAGGAACCTGCACTTAGCCCCAAAATGATTTCCTCCCAGCCCTAAACCATTAATTAAACTCCACCCTTTACTTCCATTCAAATCCCAAACCCTTTGCCGTCCTGATTGTGATTTTGCCCTTTGTTTTGGTTAGCTTTTGTCTGCACTTTTAGAGATATTTTAGCCTGGAACATTTTTAATTGTGTTTCCGGTAATTTACACTCTATTAAAAAATTTACTTCCCCATAAAGTGAGCCATCTCGTTCGTCCTTAGCCATGGACTAGCTGCTGTTCTGCATTGTCAACTCATCAAAAGTATCATCATTATCATTATAATTTTGAGGAGCAGTCCCCAACATCACTGTTGGCTTTTGTCTGCTTCAGCTGCTGTTGGCCAAATCAAATTACATTAATAACTCGAGTTGGGCATTAATCAACCCCACAAAGGGGGTGATTTTCCTATTTTCGCCTTCGATTTTCCCCCCCTCACACGGCCAATCATGAACCCTACACTCTCAACTCATCAAATCTGCTGGGGAAATTGTTTGGAAATTTTAAACAAAAACCAAAGGACCAAAAGCAGCAGGTGGAGTAACAGAAGAAGCGGGAAAGCCGCAAATTTAGGAACATTTTACTTGCCACGCCCACCAGTTGCCGCCTCTTTGGCACACACACACACAACCCCCCTTTGTTGTGATTGTTCATTGAGGCATTGAGGAATCTGAAAAGAAGAAGCTTGGAAAAGAAGTGCACTAAAAAGTATTTGTATAATTGCTATAAAAAAAAATTAAATATATTTTTTCAATAATTAAAATAAATGTATTATTATTATTATTAGATTTCTGCTCATCTTTAGGTGAACCTTACTTAAATTTAAATTTATATCTCTCACATAAATACATCATCACTTCTTGAAAGCCTATATTTGTAGTTTTCCAAAACATCACTAAAATTTAAATGTATTTTTAAGGTTATTACAAAATATAACTAAAAATAAAAACTTTTTGTTTCTGTGCCAATGAGCAGTAAATCTGGAAAATTAAAGTGGGAGAAATCTAGGCAAGGCCAGTTAGTCAAGTGCATTACTCCTCCCTCTACAGAGCATGCATGAAATGTCTATTCTAATCCGGAAATTAAATTCCATTTAGAAATTGTCCTATACAAAATGTTTGGTCCGACATGTGCCTCTCTCCCCAATGTGTATGTGTTTTGTCATACATGTTTGGGGGATAACTATAGTTGAGCACATATCTATATGCTTAATTTATGGTGAGCTCGTCGGCCAACTGGAGAAGCAGCTTGAGTTTCGCTTTGACCAGAACTTAACCTATCAAAATACTTGAAAATGTGCCCAGGAGCAACATTTACCCCAAATCGAGTGCAACTTACCAATTGTCTGTGAATTGGTATCTGAGGTTAATTGGCTGTGCAAAATAGTTGATGGATTAGGCTTAGGTTTTGCTAATAAAAATTGAAATATAAGATATTTTGTAAGGGCATTAAGCTATTTTAGGGTATTTATATAAATGTTTGAAAAATTTATGATTCTAAATTTCTTAAAGGTCAGTATGTTATTTACTTTTATTGTTTTAAGTTACTCGTTAACTGAACGATTAACTTAAAACAATAAAAGTAAATAAGTAAATAATATATTTATTTTTAAAGAGTAGAGTTTTATTCATTCATTAACTTTGTTCTGTTTCTGTAACTCTAAAATTAAGCTGAATTTTAGAGTTAGAAATCACAAGACTGCATGATATGTTTCTTCATAGGAAGGTAAATGCTCAAAAATGTATCAAAAGCTAAATCAAACCGCTTTGTCAGTCACTTTTATGTTTGGCCAACAGTTTGAGATGTGGGATTCAGTCGGGACTTAAATATCCCTTTTGCCAGGGAATGACACATAAAATGTGTCAACTAATCAAAGGCCCAAAACTGAAAATACCTGAGGCAGGCAAACAATCAAAATATCAAACTGCCGGTTATTTGTAGTCGCATCCTTATGCGACAATGCCATTTGCTTTATTTGTTTTTTTTTACACTGGAAGCAAAATTATTACCTTGCTAAAGTAAATTAAAATATTTTTTTTCACATGAAAAGTATTTGAAATCTTGTATGCTTTATTTTTAACTTTTCAAATATACCAGAATACATTTTATTTTGTTCTGAGCATAAGGCTATATATATATAACTCCATGATTCTTTTAATTTGTTCCTCATTGTTCAGCTAATTATATTTTTATTATTTTTATTGAGTTAGTCACCACAATATTAACGAATGTTTTAAAGTAAAATATATTATTCCAAATATTATTAGATCTATATTAGATCTAATATTTTTCCGTGCATCTTGCGTGTGAGCAATAAAATTTGTTATCCTCTTTATTTGTTACTCCCGTTTTTGTTGTCTTTTTTAAAACGCTCGCGCGAAAATGGGCAAATGGCGACGGAAAATGTTTATGGCTTGTTATTTGGGCATAAAAGCATTGCTGCCACGCCCCCTTTTTTTCCCATATGGCGTGACTCCCCCTCACTCACGCGCCAAAAATTATCATTCAAAATAAAAGGCAGCAACGGAACAATGAAATTGTCAAAAAATGTAAAACGAGACACGCATCAAAGTGACGCGGCGGGTGGGGGGAATTGTTTTACCAAACAAATAAATTTATGTTGGCAATTTAGAAATGAGCGTGGGGTTTTCCAAGATAAATAGAGCGCCACTTGAGCTGCTCATTCAGAGCTAATAAAAATTACGCAGCAATTGCAGGGGGGAAAAAAAAGGAAAGCAGCAAAAGTTCGAAAGTGTCGACACTTCGCAGAGTCTCTTTCGCGTTCTTTTATTCGCCCTTAACCCTTGGGCGCCGGGACACGTACCAGGATCGTTGAGGTCTCAATAGCCTGCCCCCAAAAGGGGAAAAGCGGAAAACGGGGGTCAACAGGAAGCGTGACGCAAATGGCAAATGAAAAGCAAATGAAAGCCAAAGTGAAAACTGTTCGAATATAATAAGAAATGCAATCAGACTTAAGGGAGTCGAGAAAATTGTAAAAGGAACACTTTGAAAAATTTGTTGTATTACTAAACTACTACAAGCTTAATATAGTTTAAAATATTTTAAGAACAGTAAAATCCGTAAGTGATAAAAATTCAAAAACCACTAAAATTTAGATACTCGTTGCATAAATGTGTACCAATCATTTCAGCACTGTAAAAAATCGCCATCATGTTTTGTGTTCAAATTTTATTTATTTTCTTCCATGATAGGTGTTTTAAATGTCGTGAAAAGCAATGTTACAGTTTTTGCTTAA